TATTAAACATAGAACAACAGGTACTTTCGTCTCTACAATGTCCATTCGATTCAAGACCATATCTTTGGCATTTGATATGAAGACCAAGGACTTTCTGGAAGATGCTTTAGCTTTGTGAATAGGTACCATATCTCCATCCCCACAAGAATTACTACCTCCCAGCAACTGCCAAAAGATTACTCAGCAAAGTTGGCCGTCTTCCGCCGTCTTCCGTAAGAACAAAATCACCGAAATGCAGATGCAACTAGACCACATGGCAAACATTGACGGGGTTCCTCACAGCTTTGACATCCCCATGTAATTTATAATTGAAAAATACAGGGACCTCTATCGTAGCTATACGCGCCACAGTGAATGAGAAATCATCCTTCACTGTCTTTTGGTTGCCAGGCTAATGTCCAGGAACTACCACCTATGATCATTGTTAAAAGAAATGCTGCCAAGAAAATTTTCTATTGGGGATCATCGTCAACGTCAACCCAAAAGTCTGGATGGACGAGGAGCATTTGAGCGAGTGGCTGAAAGAAGTTTACTTCAGGAGATAGGATGGCTTTTTCCACACTTCTCCGTCCTTTACTGACCTACGACTCCATGTGAGCCCAACTCATCGAAACTGTCAACTGCCGTGAAGAAAGTTAATTAGGAGCTTGTCATCACTACGGGAGGATTAACCAAAGAACTCTCTGCTTTATGTGTTGAACACTAATGAACAATATTAAACAATATTGATAGTTATTGCTAATGAGTTAAATTAATTCTGACCTATCCTACTATTTTGTTTTGCTTTATGCACCTTATAATACGGTGAACCTTATATATAAAAATAGATCAATTCACTGATACTACCTTATCGTCCGATAATTACGGTATTGTTTGAAATTTAGTGACGTAGAGGAAGTTAGGACTAAACGAACAGGACATTTTAGGTTGACCTAAAAGGTCTAGACGTGATTAAAATACTTGTTAGTAAATTGCAAAGGCAAATCAAGTTGCGCTTCAGATTTGATTGTTTGGACAAACAGGAAGAAATACTATACCTAAGAGCCGGGCGCACAGGTTAACCAAGTGTTGCGGAGCGAAGCACAAATTTTTCCTAAGGTATTCGCACGTTTGTAATGCGTGAAACGAGAAAATATTTTATGCTGTCTGTGATGCTTTTTGCTCGCATATTCTGCTTGGAAGTAAGAAAATTCGGTTAAAGCTTATGTGATCTGGTAAGTACTATTTGTATTACTTGCTCGCACATATAGCATTCGTAACAATTATATGTATATTTTTTTCACAAATCTGTAAACAGACAAATTTGTCATTCGGAACTTGTTGGTAGGGAAAGGAGAATAGAATGTTCAACGAGGAGCGCGAAAGTAAAACAATTTTTTTAGGTTCACACAAGCCGTTTCGAGTTATTTGTTTTCATGTTTTGTTCAACATTAAAAAGTACTGGATGAAGAGATGGTAGAACAGCTTGAGGCCATTGACTCCTCTTGCCGTCCATATCCTCCAAGACTTCCAAACCTTGGGAATCGGCTTCACGTGGTCCCCAGCCTGGGAGACACACGGATCCATCTGATGCTAGACACGGCTAAAATCTTCATACACGTTTGCTAAGTCAGCGGTTATCCGCTGCGACTCTTTTTCTATTCGCGTCCAGGAAGTGCAAATAATACGCGACGTGGAAGGCGGTGGGCCGGCTTGCGCATTACGCGACTGAAGCAACGTAAGCGGTGCTGGATGATTATACTCTAGAGACCAGGACTCTCTGCTCCCACGATTTTGCTTCTAACTTCCGCCTTGCTCACATGGTGCTGCTACCATACGCGAGCAACCGAACGCAAACACCGGTTTTCGAAAGTAGTCAGTCGTCTCAAATCTTCCGATCGAACAGGCCAGGTCTCGCAGCCGTAGAGTAGGACCGCACGAACTGTGGCATTGTACACTCGGCCTTTGAGTTTGACACTGACATTCCGTCGAGGCCACAAGTGTCTCAGATTAATACATGCAAGATGTGGTTTAGCAGTCCGTTGTGAAATTCTATCGCCAATACCGCCTCCAGCCGTAATGCAACTTACGAGGTAAGTAAAGCTGTTAACGAGCTCCAGGCTGAAACCGAAATGATGAGCATAGGCACAGGAGCCTGCTAATCCTGGAGCAAAGCTCTACACTTGGATGGAATAACTTACGGATCATACTTAGAAGCCTGTATCGCTAAGCGGTTCAGAATGTTGTGAAAAACCTGCGCGTCTTCCCCCAGAAAAGCGATGTCATCAGCGTACATCAGGTCTAGGAATCTGCTCCGGGTAAAACCACAACGCCGTAGCTCTGGGCTTCTTCCTGTGGGTGATGTAGGACATCTTCATTGGCATGGTTGAACAGGAACGTCAAGAGAGGATGACATTGGCGCACTTCACTGGTAACAAGAAACGAATAAAATATCCTGCCATAAGCCGTAACTCTGCCAGAGTTGGGAATATTCAGCTCTTCAAGAGTATGACAAACTTGTCTAGAACGCCGTTCCCTTGCAGACAGTTGCACAGTGACGACCAATTGACTGAATACAAAGCGGCTCGGATATCCAAAAAGACCACTATTGTTGGTCTTCAGTGGACTTGGCGATGCTCGAGAATTTGACGCAACATGAAAAGTTGGTCCATGCAACCACGGCCAGAACGAAAGACAACCAGTTCCTCATGACACAAGCTCTCGCGGGTAACCGAGAGCCTACGCAACAGAATGGCCACAAAGAGCTTGGATGCGACTGAGTTCAGTATGATTCCGCGGTAGTTGGCGCATTCACTATGAGAGCCCTTCTTGTGGATTGGAACCGTGACAGATTTTCCCCATGCGTTAGGAACCTTCGCATCGCTCCTTACTTTTGTGAACAGTGACAGAATTTCGGTGACAACTAAGTTCCCCCATCTTTAAATAAGGCCGGAGGACGACTGTCAAGGCCAGGCGCTTTGTGAAGTCTCAGAGTCTGGATTGATTTCCCTATTTCTGCGTTAGTGGAAGGAACCATGCAGACTGACCAAGGACCACATGATGGCAGGGGATGTATAACCGAAGCTTGTGCTGAGCAATTAAACTGGTGAGCAAACTGCTCTGCCCAGAGCACCAGAGGTTTGCGTAGGTTGGTGAACTTTGCGTCGTCTGATTTACAGATGGTCTGACTGATGGCCTGAATTTTGCCTCCGGTGGACCTGATGACATAAAACAACGTGCGGCTGTTACAACAAGACGCTGCAACTTCCATTTCCTTGGCCTATTTAGACCACCAGCCTTCACCTTCAGGGCAAAAACTTACTTTCAGTTGTCTGGAAATAGAACAGCGGAACTCAGTATGCTTCGCACTGACGGGTAAAACTCGCCAATCGTCGAGGAGTTCCGCGCAGGTGACCGAGATCCAACTTTTAGTTGTGTAATGGAAAATGCCGCAACTGGATAAACCTGCTGAAAACATTAGCTGTTGCAATCGCGACCAGTGCTGCGCAACGTCCCGAGGATGCGGCTAAGGAAACTTCTCACGAAGCTGCTTTTGATATTTCAATTGCATGGCTGGGTCTTTCAGCTTACCAGAGTTAGATCGAGTTTGTCTACCCTTAGGCGAGCCACCGAAACGTATGCAAACCTACGCTCGCACTGGAGCAAGATCAGTTACCACGAATGTTGACCAATAGGACCTGCAGTTAAAAATACTGCCAAGCCAGCGATGATTTATGGCAATGTCGTCAATTTGTGACCAAAGCTGAGGGAATGTTGAAAGGTGCCTAGTAGCGTAGTGACGTCTACGGTGGCGAAAGTTCGTGCTGGAGAGGTAAAATCGGTGGACGGCACCCAAACTATGTAGTCTTTCTCCATTGTCTCAGCGAAAGTTGTATTCAAGCGGGTCACAAAGGTGGCCTTCGCTTGCTAATAAAGACCAACAAGCGAGTTTAACTCCCCTGCCATAATAATGTCGTTCGTTTTGGAGGCCCTTAAGAGCAAATCATGAAGGTTCTGATAGAATTGGTTCTTGACAATTGCCCGGCTACAACCAATGGGAGCGTAGGCGCGCATAACAAAAAGGGCACGTTTGTCTTTTCGACGCCTGTTAGCCTTGCAGGAGTTATGTAGCTTGACAGCAAAAAGGCGAATGTTGATCGAAATCCATTCGAGAAGAGCGGCTTCGGCTAGGGCACTAAGGACAAGCCCAACACCAGCTTGCCCAGAAGCGGTAGCCTCGGCGTCTCCAGAAAGTCGAAGGTGGAAACGGGTATAAGGGTGAATTGGTGACGACAATGGGTAGACTGTATTGGAATCCTGAACTCGTGTTTCGGACAAACAGCAGACATCAATTGCAAGCTTTTCTAGAATGCGCGCGAAATCCGCTTGTTGTCCACTCTGTTTGCATTTGCGCACATTGGACGCCGCCAAGTTGAACTGTATCTTCGTTTGTAGAAGCGCGGAGGTGAGAATCCGGGACTGCTCAATCCCGGTTTGGCGCTGTGTAATTATGTCAGAGGATGGAGCGGCAACAGTGATATCGGGGAAAGCTATGCGGCACATCGTTGACGGATCAGGCAAAACCGAAGAAGAATGGTATAGGGGAAAAGTAGGTAAGCGAGTAGTATGTGCTGGAAGAGTGCTTGCAGCAGTAGCATGAGAGCAAAGCACCTGTAGAGGGAAGAGTGCAGTTCAGTTTCATGATTCATCAGTACGTGATATACTATTCGGTTGTCTAAGCCGAAAAAGGGCTTTCGTAAAGTACATGCTCGTAAACTACGGTGTGTGAGCTGTTCATTAACTCAATGTGGCTATTGTGTCACCTTTTGAAAGGTGATAATGGTTTGGATTTATGTCCCTGTTAGTCAGAATGTATCTATCCTTACCAATTATTGCTCAGTTTACCTGCTGTGGTTTAAGGTTTTGTACAGCCGTTTAAACCACCCATTGTGAGCACCAATACCCAAATCTTTTAGGACCTAAACGTATATATTTAAGATCATCCATCTCATTATTTGCAGATCAACATCCGAAGACGACTACAAGTTGATTCAGTGCGGCGAAACAATAGTTCACCAAATTCTCCGGAGCAATCAGAGGTTCACCTTTCATCATTCTCTTCCTGTTCATATCCAAATCCACATTACTCCGGCGCTTTAGTGGGCCGCTTCTCACTAGTTGACCTGGCAGGAAGTGAACGCAGTGTGGACAACTTGAGCACTTCGGACAGAACCCGACAATTGGAAAGCGGTGAAATTAACAAAAGTTTACTTGCGCTCAAGGAGTGTATTCGGGCAATGGGCAATCGTACAAGTTCCTACCTTCCGTTTCGAACGAGTAAATTAACTCAAGTTAGTGAGTGCATTGCTTCATATATATATATATATCGACCCGCTTCACACTGATAATGTGAAAGTGTTAATGTGTAAGAGTGCCATACCTGGGCAACCTGAAATCCAAAGCACGGTAGATATGTCATCGAACTCAGAGTAGAAGGAAAACTTTAGCGGGCTGATGGTCTTTTCATTAATGCGCACAGAGAAATCGATGTTGGAAGGCTCATTTTCGGTATGTCTATGTATGAATGTTGCTAGTTTCATACTAGCTCCAGTGAATGAGTCGCAGGAAGGTTTACTCAGGCTCTTGCATAAATCTACATGGTCAGTAATCGTTATTTTTTGTCCCGCAGCACTATTTAGGTATTGGAAGGAAAACTACAGGTACTCATGCGTTTCATCAACTCACTTAGGCTTGTAAAAGTAATTTGCACTTGTACTAACTGCCAAAAGTTGCGACGTTCTTCACTCCGTCATCATTCTGTTGGTGTGTATAAGCATGTGAAATCCCTTAATTTTATACAGCTTGGACCTCATTTTCTCTAGTTAACACAGTTAATTTATCTGAAATAACCCGATATCTTGTACAGGTTGGTAGACCATTGCATTGCTTTGGTGCGATTAGTTCAAGATAGCATTCCATGTTTAATATGCAGCCCATAAATTGCGACACCAATATCAGTTACAAGGAAGAAACTGCTTCAAACCATTGCGCTGAGAAGCATTCAGAAGCTATTATAGTTACTGCGTTTCATTAACCGCGAAAACAACAGTATCTCTCAAACCGTCCCCACGATATTCCCAGGCCAAAGAAGAGTTTTAATTTCCTATGTTTACTACTTTTATGTTAAGCAGAATACTCGCGAACATGCGGGAGATGCCCGATGTGGAAAGCACATGAAGCGCATTATCTTAGCTTGTGGGTACACATACGTATGGAACCCAGTCATATGATGTGATAGTAGCCATCATAACCATGTATTTGGAAGGTCCAGTCTGCGGGTATCAGTCGATATAAACAAATTAAATTGACCTCACTTATTATTTTGCCAATCAAAGACTGTAGAGGAACATGGTTGAAGCGTACAGCAAGCTCCTGGGAGCATTCTTATTTCTGCATGGGAGGTTCAAGACACATACAATCAACAGATCAGGTAGTATTACGATACTCCGTATGCATATTTAGCGGAGTTTGGCACTGATTAGCTAATTCCTCTGAGATTTGGCTTTGGTCATCACGTACAACATATTTTCGTCCCGCTGCAAGACCTTCCATTCCCACTGCGAGGAGCACTCGCACGATGTCCGTGGCATACAGCCCGGAATTATTAACCTAACCCCCACCGCGTGTGTTTACACTGTTGGCCTCTACATACGCGCATTGCCTTGTGCAGTGGTTCATCATTCCTTTACGCATACATTCCCTTGAGCCTTAACCATAGTTGCTCACTCTTGATGTGCGTGCATTGCAAATTTGCCTTATGCACTAGGTCTGTTAATACATTGTATGTGTGTAAATTCCGTTGTCTACCTTTGCCTCATCGTCAATGAGACGTCAATGATTGGCCAGTGGCATAATGATAGTTCACGGCTCTTCGGGTGGTTTCACTTGCCTTGCTTGTCCACTTTGAGCGGTTGTGACATCAGTTTCCTGCCCATCTGTATAAATACAATCGTCGGTGATGCAGGCATCAAGATCCAGAACCATGGAGGTTTGTCTGGTTTTTGTACATGTATGTGAATTATTAGTATCATACGTACTGCTCTCTGAATCCTTGACTACTTGGCACTTAACGTTCAATCGGTGGACGCAACACTCAAGGGTAACGAACTGTAGAATATCAAAGGTACAAACATCGCAGTCTTTATGATTTCAAATAAGCGATTCACTCCTCACCTAGCATTCGGTCCATTAGGGACTACTCTTTAATCAGGCATAGAAGTCAGTAAAGCCATCGGCAGTAGGCCGACAAATTTTCCGCCGCTTCGCTGCCGCGCATGCATCGCGTACGCGGGAGTTGAGCCATGTTTAACTAATGCGTATTATCTGAGTTTCAAAGTGAAATATACACGTGCTTAGTAGGTGTATTTTAAGTTTGACTGACCGTGCGTTCGTTAGAAGCGCAATAATAAGCTTGTGACCACTTAAACAACCAGCTGTAGCTCCAGCGAGAGTAGTAAGTACAACGCCGCCAATTTTATTGACATGCACTAACGCATCGCCTACTCCAAAGGCTGTAGAGTTTACGATCGTTCCAAAAGTTGTAGTGTTAAATGCGGCTACACTTACAGCAAGTGATAATAGCTTGGATGATGATGTGGTAGAGTAGGTGGGATCCGTATTATTGTGGGAATGTGAGCAGCCGCGCGACGAGCCGATGGATTTTTGGTACTGGGTGACCAGGTGTCATTGCAAGGCATACGTACGATTTTAGCATGTTTGGCATTTGACAGCCAAGTATTGGAGACTTTAACTAGCGAAAGTCTGTGACATTGTCGGAAGTCTGGATAGAGGAGATATAGCAATTGCGTTCTCTATTTGGTCCTGCCATAACGAGTCATAGTTCCCCATTTTCCATAAAAATGGCCCAACGTTTTGCAAGAGCTAGAGAAATATCTCAAGTTGTTGTGAAGTAGCAGGAGCCATTGGATAACGAATAACGCTTTGTCCTTATCTGGTGCCAGTGTACTTCAGTCCGTTAACCAACGTAGTGCTTGCTGGCTCACTTAAAGAGTAAAGTCTTTCTTGTGCAGTTGGGTGTTATTTTCGCTTCGGGATACGATTACTCTGGTTCGATTTTTCCAACAAATACTGAAATCAAGAGAATTTGATATCTTGAGAAGGCAATTATTGGGAGGTTATTGGTGTCTGTGTTCCTAATTATATATGCTACTATCAAATGTTGGTTGTTGGCTTCGCGCAGTTCGCTTTGTGTTCAAAGGCGGTTTTCTTCATAGCAGTGAAGAGCGCTATTTAGGGTGCATACGGCCACGAATGTCATGCATATTTGGGTAAGAGCTTTACATACGGCAAAGAGATGGATGAGAAATGTATACATTGTTGAACATCTTGGGAGCCAGCTACATGATCGATAAAATGGGGACACGATAAAAAACATACAATCTAGGTGCAAAATAAACAAACTGATCGAATTTGACACTTTGCCAGTAAAAGGAAAGATACGAGTAGGAATAGATGCCAAAAGGACGAGAAAAAACCGTTGGTAAATGAAGCATCAATTTTAACTGAACAGTTGAAATAACAATGTGCTTAGGTTGGATTCCCATGAGATCCACGTAACCTGATAAACGTAGCGAACAAAGCACTCACATTACTACCAGCGGAATGGAAATATAACCTGTATATTCTGGTCTCCTTAATAACTGCTCAATCAATGTACAAATGTATTTAAGAGGACAAACAAACTTTTAGAATGCACTGTATTAACATCTGAACAATTGTTAAAAAGGCAGCGTTTCAATACTTTATATTGCAGTGGATAAAAACGGTCACTTAATAATTTAAGGAAAAAGAACGTCGGATGGAAAGTTACCTGCAAACGGCCAGGTTCACAAAAATGTATCCAGATAAAGTATGCTGTATAGAAACACGCTTTATTAATCACATTATTCTAGCGTAGTCAAGTTGAAGAGCCAGTACAAAAACGGAAAAGTTATAACCAATCGTCAGAATTGCATGCAGTCAAAATATTAAATGACAAACCCCGAGATGCTAGAACTTTCTTACATCAGGAGCCGTTAAAGGAGGAAAATTATTTCAAGACACTTGAGTAAAGTAAGTTACACTATGGAAAGACATTGACATGTTTACTACTCAGCGCAATTGTTTTGAGATCACACACAGCCGGAAGTAGAAAGGAATATACAGTGTTGTGCAACGTCTCAACATGCAGTAAGGAAATTCACACCACTGTTTTTGATAGTTAGATTAAGTTGCTTGTGTAATCGCCAGGTCGCAACTTCATTTATTTCAGGTTACAGCATTGAACGTGTCTCAACAGCGGCAGTCATACCGCCAGAAATCAAATGTTCATCGTGGTGACATTGAGCAGGTATGGATGGTGGGACTGACGGCGGAAGACATTCATGCCTTGTAAACCAGCGCAATCGGTATGGAACAAAGAAGATATTGTACCGATTAACTGCTTGAGGTTGGCACAGCAAGTCGCCATACTGAATCCCACTGAACTTAGATCATCGCGCTACTATTGCTGTAAGTATCTGTAAATATGAGTAATTCTGACTAAAATCTTACCAGTTTAAGCACTGCACTCAGTATAATCGTATAGTTGTGTTTGATTAGAGGACAAGTCACATCCCACTGTACGCACCCAGGAGAAAAGACTTATTGCAGTGGATTTTGACAAAAAGTGACATTCACAAATTAGACGAAGTGCATGGTATATTTCTAACAAAAGCCGAGTAAATTGGCACAATAATCAATCGTATATGTAGCACTTATAACCAAATCAGCAAACAAGTTTGCCTTCTGTTAAATGTTTAGGAAACGTCCCCTGGACTTCAGAATGTGTAGCTAAACAAATCAGAATAATCAGAAAATTAATAAATTTGCATCTTCCTTTCAACCGAACATTATTATCGATGGAACCATAAGGTGCTTGAACTCGTTCTACTAAACTAGTCAACTCCCCTTGTTGCTTGGTCTGATGACAATTCAGAACGGTATGTGGCACACCGGCCGCATTTACCTTGCACCTAAACTAAACTAGATGATCTTTGCAGATGTCGTTCTATTTCTCAGAGCTGGCATGTCAATGTAGCACAGGTAGCATCCATGCCACTTAGTGACATAAGTATATTCTGTCTAGATTCTGATGCGAGCTGGATAGATTTCTCTGATACTTTATTGACTGTTACATCACAAAAGGAGATATATGAAATAAGCATAGTATGAGGGCTTTTATATATCAGCTGGATATCGTTCAATACCATGTGTAGCACCTTTGGACTGATACAGCGCATGCAAGTAGTTGGGAGTGGATACATTCTCCTTGAATGGGTAGACTGAGCGCGCATTTCTTCTCTTCTTGCTTCACCTCGCTCTGAAGTTGCTTTACGGAACCTTTCTGCTGTCGCCAACACAATCCCGTAGGTTGGTTTAGCCAAACGAGCCAGTGGTGTCAAATGTTTTACACGCTGCGCGTACCGGAGAGTGTTCATACTGTTCTCACAACAGGACAAACCTGGGGAAATGGTGGCAATCATGCAGGTGCACGATCGCTTCCCAACGAACGATTCCCTCAGAACCTGTTACAACGCAAATCCGTATGAAGCATATTGATACCATTATAGTTGGCATGGATATGACACTAGCAATACTTTCATCTCCCTGCGACGTTGTCTGTGCAAACTTCGCATACAAAGAAAAAGCTGCAAAGTACTAACAGTTGGGGGTTAGAAATAAGTTGTTCTTATCAACGCAAAAGAAAGAAGGCAGCTAAATTATTCATATGGAATATTTTAGCTGAAGTTAGACTGTTAAATACATACCAGTCTTATGTTGCACTATAATCAGCTAACTAGAGGTAGCATTTCAAACCATCTTCATTAAATCTATGCGTCCCCGATGCAGATAGGAAAACCGCTGTGATTCTTTAGACACAAAATGTTCTGGAACGTAAATCACGGGTAATAGACGGAACCACGTGGGATAATGTGAATTAGGCCATCAGCGTTGATCTCAAAGAAAGTTAAATGCCACTTGAAATATGTTTCTCTAAGAGAAGTGCGAATAATAGGGAAATCAGCTTATTTATTAATTATCCCAATAAAACAACAGTCTAGTTTAGGCTAGTGTGTTTGGGCAAACCAAGGACATTCCATTTACTTCCCACAGTTACTGGAATGTGACTAACTACTCTAGTCCAAACAGTAATAACGGTTACCCTGCAACATCGACCCTGCGAAAGGTCCATAGGAGTTCAATGTAACACGGAATTTTTACTGGGGTTATTGGAGAACCACGGGAAGCGCGTCGACATAGAGGGGGAAACCAGCAAATAAACATAGTGCCGATTGACAGTAAGAATTGCAGTCTGGCCCGCCCAGTCCCGCAACATCTCTAAAGATGAGTCCTAAATGACTGTAGTACCGTACCGATCAGATATTTAGGTGGGCGGTTGTCTTATGGTTACACCCGAATCAATGATAGTAAACTGATCAAGATTACTCATCGTGTTAAACCTACTTGACAATATAGCTCATCCATCATAGGAAGTGGTCAAAAAGAAGTCTGTATGGTCTATAATCGGAATTCATAGATGCATGAGCGTGAAAGAATTCATGGAAACCCCTTTCACATGACGTGGAGTAAAAGGTGTGGAATTGCTCGCAGGTAGACGATTTCTTGAGTTGGAGTACGCCGACTACACTGCCCTCATCTATGACAGCTCACAAACATGCCAACCGACACTAAACAGATCAGCACTGGCTGTCAGCCGTTTCCGGCGAGGCACTGCACCATCAAAGTGCCGACATTTCCTCCAAGATTGTCAAGGACCGCCACCTGCGCTGAACATTGGCGGAGATCAGTTAAAAGTCGATCAGAAATTCAACTACCTGGGAAATTGTAGCAGCGCCTATGGAATTGAGGACAAGGTCACAACATACAGCAAAAGCTCGCGGCGCTTTTTTTAATATTCGCCACATATGGCACCGACGCGACATCACTGTCTTTCTAAATAGCAGAAATGGAAGTCTCAACGTAACTTCGGACCTATTGAACGGTTGTGGAAGTTATCTGATTAGATCAGCCGATATAAAGAGGCAAGAGAGTTTTGACCACCGGTGCCATCGCATATTTGCGTATATCTGGTCGGAACACCGAGTGAGGAATGAGCGGGTTGACACCTTCTTTGTGGCACAGAAAGAGAAAGTGAACTCCTTAGCACTGTTATGTTACGCACCAGACTCCGATGGCTGAGCCGCATGTTGCGTATACCAACACACCGACTCTCGCGAAAGACGTTATTTTCGCGACCTGGGTATAGATTGGAGAAAGGAAAAGGTTGCCAATCAATGACTTGATCAAGCGAATGAAGGTTAGTATTTAGTAGTTGGTCTCGGTTGGATTCTCTCAGGTGGATGTGCTTGTTGACATGGCTTGGAGCCTAAGTGGAGGATCACTGTGGTGTTTCTTTGTCTTCGCCCTCTCTTATAGTCTCCACCTTTAACCAAAATCTCACTTACAATTCATAGTTAAGCTCCTTTTTTGCGGCATAACAGTCGGTTGCTGATTCTCCGGAACGATGTCCATCCGTTACTGATGAATCAGCCACTATGCTCTGTTTCATCATGTTTCCTTCTTTTCTTTGTTAATGTAGCGGAATAGGTGAGGCGTTTTCAACTTTAATTAACCTACATAACGATTATGCTGATTCCAGCTATCACTCGTTCAAAATCCAGTAACAGCGCTTAGTAGTTTTTCATCATTTGATCACTGGTGTCATGAGAAAAGTGTTCTTTCAGGTCCATAAACTAGGCTGTACTCAGGAGACTATGGCCAGTGGGGGTCTAATAATTGTACCGACACCAATGATGCCACTGCCACAACAAAAGACTGAATTACGCACCTGAAATTAGTGCACATAAAATACAAATATTAACCATGTAGCGAACCCATTCTTCTGACGACGGATCTGCTGCAGGTCAACGGACTAGATTAAAAAGCCCTAGATGAGTTGCTAAGCCGAGTTACCAGCCAATTTTCACACATGAATTTAAGTATACCATAAAACTCCACGGTGAATTGAAAATTGCGAGATGATTAACAAAATGAATTGGTTAAATAACGAAGGTCCGTAAACACAGCATCGGCAGCGCGATTTCAAGATAATGATTAAGCAGTTAATGTAGTTGGTGAATTAACTACTACCGAAAGTAAACTTCGTGGCTACCGGCAGTCATTTAATTTTGCTTACGCTAATACGAGTAGCAATCAGTGCACACGAAAAACCACTCATCAAAGCTTACTGGACCGTGAAGTCACTCAAAAATCACATTCACATTTCGTTGAACGTAAGTTGGTATTTTCCAGTGAAATTCAAAATAGCTGCAGTCCGATAAATGATTGTGTGATATATGTTTCTGCATCTGGGTAATTCTCAATTTTCTTTCAAAATCTATTGCGTTGTAGGTGGTGTTATTTGCTATGTCTAACGAGAAAGTTCCTAAAACCTACTGATTTAACCTCACTATCATAGGTTTTATAGATTATATATATATGAAGCAATGCACTCACTAACTTGAGTTAATTTACTCGTTCGAAACGGAAGGTAGGAACTTGTACGATTTCCCATTGCCCGAATACACTCCTTAAGCGCAAGCAAACTTTTGTTAATTTCACCGCTTTCCAATTGTCGGGTTCTGTCCGAAGTGCTCAAGTTGTCCACACTGCGTTCACTTCCTGCCAGGTCAACCAGTGAGAAGCGGCCCACTAAAGCGCCGGAGTAATGTGGATTTGGATATGAACAGGAAGAGAATGACGAAAGGTGAACTTCTGATTGCTCCGGAGAATTTGGTGAACTATTGTTTCGCCGCACTGAATCAACTTGTAGTCGTCTTCGGATATTGATCTGCAAATAGTAAGATGGATGATCTTAAATATATAAGTTTAGGTCACAAAATATTTGGGTATTGGTTCTCACCATGGGCCGTTTAAACAACTGTACAAAACCTAAAACCACAGAAGGTAAACTAAACAATAACTGGTAAGGATAAATACATTCTGACTAACTGGGAAATGAATCCAAACCATTATCCCGTTTCAACAGGTGACACCCAACAGCCACATTGATTCAATGCACAACTCACAGACCGCGGTTTACGAGTATATTCTTTACGAAAGCCATACTTCGGCCCAGGCAACCGAGTAGTATATTGCGTACTCATGAACCATGAAACTGAACTGCCCGCTTCGCTCTACTGCTGCTTTGCTCCCCCTCTACTACTGCAAGTACTCTTCCAGCACACACTACTCGTTTATCTACTCTTCCCCTATATCATTCTTCTTCGGTTGTGCCTGATCGATCAACGATGAGCAGCATTGCTTCCTCCGATATCACTGTTGCCGCTTCATCCTCTGACATAATCACACAGCGCCAAACCGGGATTGAGCAGTCCCAGATTCTCACCCCTACGCTTCTGCAAACGCAGACACAGTTCAACTTGGCGGCATTCATTGTGCGCACCTGAAGAGAGATTGGGTAACATGCAGGTCTCGCGCGCACTCTGGAAACTCTTGCAATTGATGTCAGTTATTTGTCCGAAACACGACTTCAGGATTCCAATACAGTCTACCCATTTTCGTCACCAAGTCACCTTTATATCCTTTTCCGCCTTCGACTTTCTGGAGATGCCCAGGCTAACGCTTCTGGGAAATCTGGTGTTGAGGTCGTCCTTAGTGTCAGAGCCGAAGCCGCTCTTCTCGAATGGATTTCAATCAACAGTCGCCTTTATGCTGTCAGGCTTCATGGTTCCTGCAAGGTTAACAGGCGTCAAAAAGACAAATGTGCGCTTTTTGTGACCTGCGCCTATGCTTCCATTGTTTGTGGCCGGGATATTGTCGAGGACAAATTCTATCAGAACCTTCATGATTTGTACTTAAGGGCCTCCAAAACGAACAACATTATTATGGTAGGGGATTTAAACTCGCTTGTTGGTCGTTTATTCGCAAGCGAACGCTACCTTGGTGGCTCGCATGCAAACGAAAACTTTCGCTGAGACAATGGAGAAAGACTACACAGTTTGAGTGCCGTCCACCAACTTCACCTCTCCAGCACGAACTTTCGCCACCCGACACGTCACCACGCTACCTGGCACGCCTCAGTTTCCCCCCAACTTTGGTTACAAATTGACCACACCGCCATAAGTCATCGCTGGCTTGGCACTATTTTTGACTGCAAGTCCTATTGGTCAACATACGTGGAAACTGATTTTGCGCCAGTGCGTGCGTCGGTTTGCATGAGTTTCGGTGGCTCGCCTAGAACTAGGTAAGCTCGGTCTAACTCAGGTAAACGGAAAGACCCCGCCATGCAATCGGAATATCAAAGCAGCTTCATGAGATTCTTACTTATCCGCCTTGTCGGGACTTTGAACAGCACTGGTCGCGTTTGCAAAAGATAATGTTTTCAGCGGGTTTATCCAGTTGCTGCCTTGTTCATTGCACAACTAAAAGTTGGACCTCGGCTACCTCCGCGGAAATTCTCGACCATTGGTGAGCTTTACTCGTCAGTTTGGAACACACTGAGCTCAACCGTTCTATTTCCAGACAACTGAAAGTGAATCTTCGACATGAACGTGAAGTCTGGTGGTCTAAACAGGCCAAGGAAATGGAAGTTACAGCCTCTGGTTGTAAGAGCCGCAGGTTGTTTTATCAGGTCCACCGGAGGCAAAGTTCAGGCCATCAGTCAGACCACCTGTGAGTTAGACGGTACAAAGTTCACCAACCTACGCAGACTTCTGGTGCGCTGAGCAGAGCACTTTGCTCCCCAGTGTAATTTCCCAACACAACATTCGGTTATACATCCACTGCCATCATGTGATCATTGGTCAGTCTGCATAGATCCTCCCACTGAAGCAGAAATAGGAAAACCAATCCAGACTCTGAAACTCCACAAAACGCCTGGCCTTGACATTCGTCCTCCGGCTTTATTCAAAGATGTGGGGTACTTAGTTGTCACCGAAATTCTGTCACTGTTAACAAAAGTAACGAGCGATGAGAAGGTGCCTAACTCATGGGAAAAATCTGTCATGGTTCTGATCCACAAGCAGGGCTCTCATAGTGAATGCACCAACTACCGAGGAATCTCACTTATCTCTGTCGCGTCCAAGCTCTTTGTGTCCACTCTGCTGCGTAGGCTCTCAGTTACCCGCGAGAGATTGTGTCTTGAGGAACAGGTTGTCTTTCGTTCTGGCAGTTGTTGCATGGACCAACATTCCATGTTGCGTCAAATACTCGAACATCGTCAAGTCCACCGAAGACCAACAATGGTGGTGTTTTTGGATATCCGTGCCGCTTCAGCAGATAGGTCTTCACTGTGCAACTGCCTCCAACGTAACGGCGTTCCTGACAAGTTTGTCATACTCTTGAAAGAGCTGTATATTCCCACCTCCGGCAGAGTTAGAGCTTATGGCAGGCTATTTTATTCGTTTCATGTTACCAGTGAAGTGCACCAACGTCATACTCTCTTGACGTTCCTGTTCAAAAATGCCAATGAAGATGTCCTACATCGCGCGCTGGAAGGAGCCCAGAGCTACGGCGTTGTGGTTTTACCCGGACCAGATTCATAGACCTGAGTTATGCTGATGACGTCGCTTTCATGGAGGAAGACTCGTAGGTTGTTCCTAACGTTCCGAACTGCTTAGCAATAGAGGCAGCTGAGTATGATCTGTAATTTTTTCCATCCAAGTTTAAGGCTTTGCTCCAGGATTAGCAGGCTCCAGTGCCTACGCTCATCATTTAGGGTTTCTGCCTGGAGCTCGTTAACAGCTTTACGTACGTCGGAAGTTACATTACGGCTGGAGGCGGTATTGGCGATGAAATTTCACAACGAACTACTAAAGCACACCTTGAATGTACTAACCTGAGACACTTGTGGCCAGGTCGAAATGTCATTCTCAAACTAAAAGACCGAGTGTACAATGCCACAGTTCGTGCTGTCCTACTCTACGGCTGCGAGACTTGGTCTGTTCGATCGGAAGATTTGCGACGACTGTCTACTTTCGAAAACCGCTGTTTGCCTTGGATTGCTCACGTACGATAGCAGCACCACGTGAGCAACGCGGAAGCTAGAAGCAAAATCATGGGAGCGGACAGTCCTGGTCTCCAGAGCATAATCATGCAGCACCGCTTGCGCTGCCTCAGTCACGTAATGTGCAAGTCGGCCCACCGCCTTCCAAGTTGCGCATTATTTACACTTCCTGGACGCGAATAGAAAAAGAGTCGCAGCGGACAACCGACGACCCAGCGAAGGAGTATAAAGATTCTAGCTGTGTCTAGCTTCCGATGGATCCGTGCGTCTCCAAGGCTGGGGACCACGTAAAGCGGATTCCCAAGGTTTGCAAGTCTTGGAGGATATAGACCGCAAGAGGAGTCAATGGCCTCAATTCTGTTCTAACATCTCTTCATCCAGTACCTTTTAATGTTTAATAAAACATGAAAACAAATAACTCGAAACGGCGTGTATGAATCTAAAAGATTATTTTACTCTCGTGCTCCTTGTTGAACATTCTATCCTCCTTTCCCTACCAACAAGCTTCGGATGGCACATTTGTCTGTTGACAGACTTGTGAAAAAATATAGACATATAATCTTTACGAATGCTATAGGTGCAAGCAACCAATGCAAATAGTCCTTACCAGCTCACATAAGCTTTAACCGATTCTTCTTACTTCCAAGCAGAATATGCGAGCAAAAAGCATCAAAGACAGCGTATAATATTTTCTTGTTTCACGCGTAACATACGTGCTAATACCATAGGAAAAATTTGTGATTCGCTCCGGAACACATGGTTAACATTGGCGCCTGGCTCTTAGGTATAGTATTTCTTTATGTTTGCCCAAACAACCAAATTTAAAGCGCAACTTGATTTGCTTTCACAGTTTACTAACTAATTTTGTTAATCATGTCTAGATATGTTAGGTCAAACTAAAAAGTCCTGTTCGTTTAGTCATAACTCTTCCACTAGGCCACCACGCTTCAAACACTGCCGTAATTTTCGGACGATAGGGCAGTATCAGTGAACTGATCTAGTTTTACATATATGGTGCACCGTACTATAAGGTGCATAAAGCAAAACAAAATAGTGGGATAGGTTAGACTTAATTTAACTCCTTAGCAATAACTATCAATATTGTTCAATATTGTTCAATAGTGTTCAACACATAAAACAGAGTTCTTTGGTTAATCCTCCCGTAGTGATGGCAAGCTCTGAATTAGCTTGCTTCACGGCTTTTGACAGTTTCTGTGAGTTGGGCGCACATGGAGTCGTAGATCAGTAAATCATGGAGATGTGTGGAAAAAGCCATCCTGTCTCCTGAAGTAAACTTTTCTCAGCCACTCGCTCAAATGCTCCTCTTCCATCCAGACTTTTGGGTTGACCTTGACGATGACCCCAATAGAGAAGTTTCTTGCCAAAGTCTTTCTTTTAACAATGATCAAAGGTGGTAGTTCCTGGACATTAGCCTGGCAACCAAAAGACAATGACGGATGACTTCTCATTCACTGTGGTGCGTATACCTACAGTAGACGTCCCTGTTTTTTTCAATTATACAGTACACGGGGGTGTCAAAGCTGAGAGTAACCTTGTCCATGTTTGTGATGTGGTCTGGTTGCATCTGCGTTTCGCTAAGGTTGTTCTTACGCAAGACGGCGGAAGACGGTCAACTTTGCTGTGTAATCTTTTGGCAGTTGCTGCGAGGTGATAGTTCTTGTGGGGATGGAGATATGATGCCTATTCATAAAGCGGAAGGAACTTCTTGAAACTCCTTGATCTTCATATCAAATGCCACCGCTATTGTCTTAAATCGAATGGAGATTGTAGTGACGCTCCTACCTGTTGTTCTATGTTCAATA